AACAACGTAACAATGAAGTAAACAACGTAAACCAATAACAAATCTAAGCTTTTTTATTGGTTGTAATTTACATGGATACATTTGAATGGTGTGACAATGTCCTATTTGATTGGGTTAAAATGTACATATTCTTCCTGTTATGTCTGCCTGCTTTATTTTACCTAATGCAAAGTGACATGCTGCTCCATCGAAATCAGTCGCATTGATCCGAAGACACATTTTGATTTCTAGCTTTCTGATGATATCAGGATTGTTTTTGTACTCCAAATATTAAGCAAAATATGTCACATTATATAATGACTGTTACAGAGTCATCATTTTGAGAAAAAGGCCTTTAGAGTTTTCTCTTCTCTGGAATCCATCATTTCTCATCATCAATCATCATGATTGATTATTAGCGGAGCAAATGATCAAAACACTACGGAGGGAAGATATTTTCGTTTGGATTACTGCACTCACGAGAAACACCGGCTGTTGTTATGCCTGCTGTGACGTTAAGCTACTCCGTTCTCCGCTTGTAATTATGCCGAAGCTTCAAAGTTGTATTTATCATCTGAATTTGCCGAGACAAGTTTAATATTCTGAAAGCCAAGACTTTGTTTATTTGAAATCACATAAAAACAAACTGTAACGGACCCTTCCGTGTTATCTATGATTACTATACACCTTACATTCATAATTTCAGTGGGAGGGAGGGGGGGCGGCGCTGAGGAACAGCAGAGTGGCGAGAGCTGTCATCTTCCCTTCACAAGCTTCAAACATGCCTGTAGCTAGTGAGATTGAATATAACAATCAAAAATAACAAAATATACACAGCTAGATCAGATCACGTTTTAGATGCGACTTTAGAGTAGAGGGGAATTATTGAAACGGGATTTGTACAGTTTTCCGCGGCACAGTTTCATGGAAACACATCAGCTTTTGGACGACAGTCAATATGGATTCAGGAAAGATAGATCAACATCTACGGCACTAATGGAATTAAGTGAGGAAATAGCAAACTGCATGGACAATAAAAAACAAGCAGTGGGAATATTTATAGACTTACAAAAAGCATTTGACACTATACAGTAGATCACAATATGTTACTGATGAAACTGGAACGGTATGGCATCAGAGGGGTGGGATTAAACTGGGTGAGAGATTATTTAAGCAACAGACAACAATGTGTTGAATTTGGTGAACATAAATCAGAATACATGAACATAACTTGTGGAGTACCTCAGGGGTCCGTGTTGGGTCCAAAGCTGTTCATAATATACATCAACGACATTTGCAGAGTATCAAATATATTGAAATTTATTTTATTTGCAGATGACACTAATATTTTTTGTTCCGGTGAAAATTTGAAAGAGCTAATGGAAGTGATAACAGCAGAAATGATTAAAGTAAAACATTGGTTTGACACAAACAAATTATCATTAAATATAAGCAAAACAAAGATTATGTTATTTGGAAAACATAAAACAAATCCACAGATAAAATTAATACTAGATAACACATAGAAAGAGTGAAATGAAGTTCCTTGGTGTGGTTTTAGACCACAACATCAGCTGGAAACCTCATATCACTCATGTAAAAGCAAAACTGGCTAAAACTATCGCAATATTGGGAAAAGCCAGATACATTCTGGACCACAACTCATTGTATACTCTATATAACACACTCATATTGCCATATCTGATTTACTGTGTGGAGATTTGGGGAAACACGTAAAAAACCAACCTACAGCCGTTATGCACAATACAGAAAAGGGCTATAAGAGTAATCAATAATGTTGGATATCTTGAACACACTAATGTATTATTTTTGAAGTCACACATATTGAAGTTCATTGATCTGGTTACATTTAAAACGGCAAAAATCATGTACAGAGCATCTACTTCCTAGGAAATTAAAAACATTGTTCATAGACAGAGAGGGTGGGTATAATTTGAGAGGAAATCTACATTTCAAACAACTCAAGGTCAGAACAACTCTGAGAAGTATGAGCATAACAATCTGTGGGGTGATTTTATGGAATGGTTTGGAGCAGGAGTTAAAACAAAGCACACGCATAATTCAGTTTAAAAGGATGTACAGAAACACTTTTTTGGAAAAATATGAGAATGAAGAAAGGTGATTGAAGATGAGAAATTATTGTATATGTATATATAAATGTAAATCTAAGTAGAATAACTTGCATAATGATTTAAAGGACAATCATTGATCAAGTAAGGGGTGGGAATTAATAAGCATTTGCTTCCTCCTGCTCCCTTTCGGACACATATGATTTATTATTATTATTAATATGAAGACTTTTTTTGTTTTTTTTGTTGAATATACAAATATTACCATGAATGTGGATAAATACTGTATTATAACAATACGGTACTCTGTTTTTCACATTTGTTATTTTTTATTTGTTATTTTTTAATATGTTCGAAATAAAGACTGGAAAAAAGAAAAAAAAATTCTGCTGCTGCGAAAATGTGGGGCAGGGCTGAAAAGTGGGGGGGCCAATGGCCCCCTGGCCCCCCCACTTCCGGCGCCCTTGGTCAGACTACTGCTTGACCTTTCATCTAGAACCCACCTCACCTCTGCCCACTTTGACAACCTAGGATGGCTTAGAGTAGACGACAGAGTACAGCTACTTGCAATGGGCCTGGTCTACAAGATCCACTACACCTCTATGGTACCCATGTACATGTCAACATTCTTCCCAAAGGTCAAGGAATACCATGATCATAACACCAGAGGGAGCTCCACAAATCATGTGAAACCCAGATTTGGCACAAAAAAGGGGGAATACACGTTTCGCAATGATGCCACATCAAGGTGGAACGCTCTTCCCACAACTGTAAAGGAAAGTAAAACTATACTTACCTTCAAAACCTCTCTGAAAGAGCACCTTCGGGGGAGAGCATTGCAAAACTGGCCCCGGTAATGGTACAAATCTCAACCTGTTGTACAATGGACAGCTTCCCCCCTCATCTATGTATATACTCGCATTTTAGACTCTGTTACTAACTGTATATCTGTAGACTTAGTATGTCTTAAATGTCCGGTTAGGATGTATTAGAACGAAATCTAAAATGAAAATTGTAAATAAGCAATCTGTATGTAAAAAACCACCTGTATGTAAATTGTAAATAAGCCATCTGTATGTCAAATATGTCTTATATGTCTTAAATGATATGATGAATTGGAAATGGGGGACCCTGATGTAAACAAGACGAAAGTCTTTCTCTGGTCTGCATCCCCTTAACAATTGTATGTTTTGAGCTGTACTGTACTGTACCCAATATACAAGCTGTTAATACACTTTTCAATCAATCAATCAATAGATTCTGACTACCTTTTTTCAAAATGATAATAAAGACAGTTTTCAGTAAGAGTCTACGAACCTGGAGAAAAACAGAGTAGTTTTTAATGCGTGTGTGTGTGTGTGTGTGCGTGTGTTGTGAGAGTGTGTGTCCGTGTACGTACGTGTGCATGTGCGTGTACGTGTGCGTGTACGTGTGTGTGTGTGCAGCGGTACACAGACACACGGTTCCCCGGGTATCAGAGCACTTCTCTCCGGGCTCAGAGAACATGGAGCTCTCGGCGAAGGGAGATCGAGTTTTCGCCGCCGAAGCAATCCTGAAACGCCGCATCCGACAGGTGAGCCTCCGCCGCCTCTTGTGGGTCTTTCTCCGGTAGATGATTGATCTGTTACCCGGCAATAGGCTCTGCTAACCGGCCACAGGGTCGTCTCCTTGCTGCGGAGGCCTGGATGAATGCCTTCACTATGCTAACAGGAGCTAACATAAGCTAACCAGGCTAGGCTATCACAGTCAGAAACAGGTTTATTTATTAAGTAATGTTGAACTGTGTAATACATAGCTCACTAACATGTAATATAAGAAGATATATGAAGGCTGCAGCTCATATTTAAAAGTATATATATCAAAAATATCCGCATTATCTACAATAGTTATTAGTACCACAGTTTAAGGCACTTTATTACCTCAGTATCCAAAACAGTTATATCAACAGTAGAACAATATATATTATAGAGAATGCACACTATAAAATCTAAACAATAACAATGCAAATACACAATAATAGACCTAATACAACTTAATAACACCTGCACTGACTTTCAGTCTTTCGCTCATGGTGCAAACATTGGATATTGCAACATTAATCACACTGTAATCTGAGTTTTTCAATTGAAATGTATTGTACATTTTATATTTTAATTTTAAAGACCTGAACTTTAATCCGTTTCATAATTGTTTGTGTGATAGAGAGTTTGCAATGTTTGTAGGTTGTATTGATTGTTATACCTGCCTGAGGACTGCAGATGGAAATGAGTTGTTAGCTATAATCTCTTCTCTTTTCTGAGATGAATGTATTTGTATGCACGGTCCTTGAGTTAGACCGACCTGCTACTAAAAGACATTTGAACATAACAAAAGCAAACTCATATTTAAATGAATATATCAAAACATATCGTCAACAGGTTCCACAGTTTGATGCACTTTATATATATTTACCACCAAACATACGATGCCTAACTTCCTTTCAAATGTTTAATAAATACATTTCAGTCGCATATAGGGATGCAGGATACAGGGGCCATGAATGGAAATGTATATAATCTTGTAGCATTCCATTAATGCCAGCATGACAAGCTAAAGATGAATAAAACCTTCAAAGTTGCTGTGGTAAGACTTTACTGTTTAGTATGATGTGGCAATGCACGTTTATTTATATATCTCGTATTTAAAAAACAAGGCAATTTAAAGTGGTTTACAACTTCAAGAACATCACGACAAAGTGCAAAGAAACCTACAGTACATACAATTAAAACAGTCATTAAAGAGCCATGGAAATATAAGTAAAAACAAGATGGTAAGACAGGTATAACACACAAAGCTACTATGATAAGACGTTGGTAACGGACTTTCAGCATTGATTTCAAAGAGGTGTTTTGCAGAAGACTCGAGGTGTTTAACTACTTAACTGTTAAAACACATGCAGTTTTTATTCCCCGCATTTCTGGAAAAACTGCATGTGTTTTAACAGTTTAGTATGGCATGGCAACTCCAAGTGGTTTACAACTTCAACAACCTTAAAGTGCAAAGAAGCCCATTGGAAAAGGACAATTACATATAATTAAAACAGTCATTAAAGAGGCAAGGGAACAGAACAACAATAGAAGAAGACAGGTGTGATATACAGGTTTAATGCTGAGGCGGAACAAAAGGCAGCCGCTAGGAAAGCCTCCTGCCTCGATTTGAGAACTGCACGCTGCATGGTTTGCATTCTGGGAAAGAAAGAGCCTATAAATCATGGCGTGTTCCACTTTAAGAGTCCGGTAGTTAACCAGCAGGCCTCCTGGGCTTCCTGCTGGACCTTCAGATGAACCCCTCCTTTTGTTATCCAGCATAAAAGCAGGAATAACATCTCTGAGGTTCACACACTCGCTGCAATGGAGGACATCTGACATTATCTGTGATCGATTCAGTCGCTCACATGTTTCTGGGATTCATCAGGGTCCCTTCGTATCTTAAACAGTTTTAAAAATGTAGATGAATGTGTATACAATGAGGTGTTTTCTTAGTATTGTGCTGTAATTATAGTAACATCAGTTGTGCGTCTAATAACCTTCAGTGCATCTTTACGTTCACAAACACACATATTCCTAAAACACAATCCAATGGTGGTAAAGTCAAATGAACAGAATACATGTAATTTATATTTCTGAAAGTACCCTGAATGCACAGCATATTATTTATCAATCAAGCAGCTGATCAGCGTAACCTTGATCGACTTTAAGGAGAATGGGAGGAGAAATGTACATGAACTGACAAATATATTCAAGTTACGTTCCTTTGTTTACTCCTAACATAGTGACATCACTATGTCAAACTCGCACTCCTATTGGCTAGCGCTCCAACAAATTGAACGTGATAGGCTAAAGGGACGTGACATCTCTAAGCTGCTTGACCAATCACAACAGAGCCGGCCAGCTAACCAATCAGAGCAGCTCTGGGCTCTGGTTTCAGACAGAGGGTGAAAAGAGGTGCTGCAGCACATACAGTATGTGACACTACATACTGATATACACCTGAACATCAGCAGGAGAGGACTCTTTAAAGTAGAGACACTACATACAGATATACACCTGAACATCAGCAGGAGAGGACTCTTTAAAGTAGAGACACTACATGCTGATATACACCTGAACATCAGCAGGAGAGGACTCTTTAAAGTAGAGACACTACATGCTGATATACACCTGAACACCAGCAGGAGAGGACTCTTTAAAGTAGAGACACTACATACTGATATACACCTGAACATCAGCAGGAGAGGACTCTTTAAAGTAGAGACACTACATACTGATATACACCTGAACACCAGCAGGAGAGGACTCTTTAAAGTAGAGACACTACATACTGATATACACCTGAACATCAACAGGAGAGGACTCTTTAAAGTAGAGACACTACATACTGATATACACCTGAACATCAGCAGGAGAGGACTCTTTAAAGTAGAGACACTACATGCTGATATACACCTGAACACCAGCAGGAGAGGACTCTTTAAAGTAGAGACACTACATACTGATATACACCTGAACATCAGCAGGAGAGGACTCTTTAAAGTAGAGACACTACATACTGATATACACCTGAACACCAGCAGGAGAGGACTCTTTAAAGTAGAGACACTACATACTGATATACACCTGAACATCAACAGGAGAGGACTCTTTAAAGTAGAGACACTACATACTGATATACACCTGAACATCAGCAGGAGAGGACTCTTTAAAGTAGAGACACTACATACTGATATACACCTGAACATCAGCAGGAGAGGACTCTTTAAAGTAGAGACACTACATACTGATATACACCTGACCATCAGCAGGAGAGGACTCTTTAAAGTAGAGACACTACATACTGATATACACCTGAACATCAGCAGGAGAGGACTCTTTAAAGTAGAGACACTACATACTGATATACACCTGAACATCAGCAGGAGAGGACTCTTTAAAGTGGAGACACTACATACTGATATACACCTGAACATCAGCAGGAGGAGGACTCTTTAAAGTAGAGACACTACAGACTGATATACACCTGAACATCAGCAGGAGAGGACTCTTTAAAGTAGAGACACTACATACTGATATACACCTGAACATCAGCAGGAGAGGACTCTTTAAAGTAGAGACACTACATACTGATATACACCTGAACATCAGCAGGAGAGGACTCTTTAAAGTATAGACACTACATACTGATATACACCTGAACATCAGCAGGAGAGGACTCTTTAAAGTAGAGACAACTACAGACTGATATACACCTGAACATCAGCAGGAGAGGACTCTTTAAAGTAGAGACACTACATACTGATATACACCTGAACATCAGCAGGAGAGGACTCTTTAAAGTAGAGACACTACAGACTGATATACACCTGAACATCAGCAGGAGAGGACTCTTTAAAGTAGAGACACTACATACTGATTACACCTGAACATCAAGCAGGAGAGGACTCTTTAAAGTAGAGACACTACAGACTGATATACACCTGAACATCAGCAGGAGAGGACTCTTAAAGTAGAGACACTACATACTGATATACACCTGAACATCAGCAGGGAGAGGACTCTTTAAAGTAGAGACACTACAGACTGATATACACCTGAACATCAGCAGGAGAGGACTCTTTAAGTAGAGACACTACATACTGATATACACCCTGAACATCAGCAGGAGAGGACTCTTTAAAGTAGAGAACACTACATACTGATATACACCTGAACATCAGCAGGAGAGGGACTCTTTTAAAGTAGAGACACTACATACTGATATACACCTGAACATCAGCAGGAGAGGACTCTTTAAAGCAGAGACACTACATACTGATATACACCTGAACATCAGCAGGAGAGGACTCTTTAAAGTAGAGACACTACATACTGATATACACCTGGAACATCAGCAGGGAGAGGACTCTTTAAAGTAGAGACACTACATACTGATATACACCTGAACATCAGCAGGAGAGGAACTCTTTAAAGTAGAGGACACTACATACTGATATACACCTGAACATCAGCAGGAGAGGACTTTTTAAAGTAGAGACACTACATACTGATATACACCTGAACATCAGCAGGAGAGGACTCTTTAAAGTAGAGACACTACATACTGATATACACCTGAACATCAGCAGGGGAGGACTCTTTAAAGTAGAGACACTACATACTGATATACACCTGGACATCAGCTGGAGAGGACTCTTTAAAGTAGAGACACTACATACTGATATACACCTGCACATCAGCAGGAGAGGACTCTTTAAAGTAGAGACACTACATACTGATATACACCTGAACATCAGCAGGAGAGGACTCTTTAAAGTAGAGACACTACATACTGATATACACCTGAACATCAGCAGGAGAGGACTCTTTAAAGTAGAGACACTACACATTGATATACACCTGAACATCAGCAGGGGAGGACTCTTTAAAGTAGAGACACTACATACTGATATACACCTGAACATCAGCCAGGGAGAGGACTCTTAAAGTAGTGACACTACAAGGACTTGGATATCCACCTGAACATTCAGCAGGAGATGGACCTTAAGTAGAGACACTACATCTGATATACACCTGAACATCAGCAGGAGAGGACTCTTTAAAGTAGAGACACTACATACTGATATACACCTGAACATCAGCAGGAGAGGACTCTTTAAAGTAGAGACACTACATACTGATACACCAGAACATCAGCAGGAGAGGACTCTTTAAAGTAGAGACACTACATACTGATATACACCTGAACATCAGCAGGAGAGACTCTTTAAAGTAGAGACACTACACTGATATACACCTGAACATCAGCAGGAGAGGACTCTTAAAGTAGAGACACTACATACTGATATACACCTGAACATCAGCAGGAGAGGACTCTTTAAAGTAGAGACACTACAGACTGATATACACCTGAACATCAGCAGGAGAGGACTCTTTAAAGTAGAGACACTACACTGATATACACCTGAACATCAGCAGGAGAGGACTCTTTAAAGTAGAGACACTACATACTGATATACACCTGAACATCAGCAGGAGAGGACTCTTTAAAGTAGAGACACTACATACTGATATACACCTGAACATCAGCAGGAGAGGACTCTTTAAAGTAGAGACACTACATACTGATATACACCTGAACATCAGCAGGAGAGGACTCTTTAAAGTAGAGACACTACATACTGATATACACCTGAACATCAGCAGGAGAGGACTCTTTAAGTAGAGGACACTACATACTGATATACACCTGAACATCAGCAGGAGAGGACTCTTTAAAGTAGAGGACACTACATACTGATATACACCTGAACATCAGCAGGAGAGGACTCTTTAAAGTAGAGACACTACATACTGATATACACCTGAACATCAGCAGGAGAGGACTCTTTAAAGTAGAGACACTACATACTGATATACACCTGAACATCAGCAGGAGAGGACTCTTTAAAGTAGAGACACTACAGACTGATATACACCTGAACATCAGCAGGAGAGGACTCTTTAAAGTAGAGACACTACATACTGATATACACCTGAACATCAGCAGGAGAGGACTCTTTAAAGTAGAGACACTACATACTGATATACACTCTGAACATCAGCAGGAGAGGACTCTTAAAGTAGAGGACACTACATACTGGATATACACCTGAACATCAGCAGGAGAGGACTCTTTAAAGTAGAGACACTACATACTGATATACACCTGAAACATCATCAGGAGAGGACTCTTTAAAGTAGAGACACTACATACTGATATACACCTGAACATCAGCAGGAGAGGACTCTTTAAAGTAGAGACACTACATATGATATACACCCTGAACATCAGCAGGAGAGGACTCTTTAAAGTAGAGACACTACATACTGATATACACCTGAACATCAGCAGGAGAGGACTCTTTTAAAGTAGAGACACTACATACTGATATACACCTGAACATCAGCAGGAGAGGACTCTTTAAAGTAGAGACACTACATACTGATATACACCTGAACATCAGCAGGAGAGGACTCTTTAAAGTAGAGACACTACCATACTGATATACACCTGAACATCAGCAGGAGAGGACTCTTTAAAGTAGAGACACTACAGTACTGATATACACCTGAACATCAGCAGGAGAGGACTCTTTAAAGTAGAGACACTACTAATACTGATATACACCCTGAACATCAGCAGGAGAGGACTCTTTAAAGTAGAGACACTACATACTGATATACACCTGAACATCAGCAGGAGAGGACTCTTTTAAAGTAGAGACACTACATACTGATATACACCTGAACATCAGCAGGAGAGGACTCTTTAAAGTAGAGACACTACATACTGATATACACCTGAACATCAGCAGGAGAGGAACTCTTTAAAGTAGAGACACTACATACTGATATACACCTGCACATCAGCAGGAGAGGACTCTTAAAGTAGAGACACTACATACTGATATACACCTGAACATCAGCAGGAGAGGACTCTTTTAAAGTAGAGACACTACATACTGAATACACCTGAACATCAGCAGGAGAGGACTCTTTAAAGTAGAGACACTACATACTGATATACACCTGAACATCAGCAGGGGAGGACTCTTTAAAGTAGTAGAGACACTACATTCACTGATATACACTGAACATCAGGCAGGAGAGGACTCTTTAAAGTAGTGACACTACAGACTGATATACCCCTTGAACATCAGCCAGGAGAGGACTTTTTAACGTAGAGACACTACATTACCCTGATATACACCTGAACATCAGCAGGAGAGGACTCTTTAAAGCTAGAGACCACTACATACTGATATATCACCAGAACATCAGCAGGAGAGGACTCTTTTAAAGTAGAGACACTACCCATAACTGTGATATAACACCTGGAACATCAGCTGGAGGAGGACTCTTTTAAGTTAGAGGACACTACATACTTGATATTACACCTGAACATCAGCAGGAGAGACTCTTTACAGTAGAGCACATACATACTGATTATACACCTGAACCATCAAGCAGGATGAGGACGCTTTAAAGTAGAGGACATACTGATATCCACCTGAACCATCAGCAGGAGAGGACTCTTTAAAGTAGAGACACTACAGACTGATTACACCTGAACATCAGCAGGAGAGGACTCTTTAAAGTAGATGACACTACATACTGATATACACCTGAACATCAGCAGGAGAGGACTCTTTTAAAGTAGAGACACTACATACTGATATACACCTGAACATCAGCAGGAGAGGACTCTTTAAAGTAGAGACACTACATACTGATATACACCATGAACATCAGCAGGAGAGGACTCTTTAAAGTAGAGACACTACATACTGATATACACCTGAACATCAGTATGGAGAGGACTCTTTAAAGTAGAGACACTACATACTGATATACACCTGAACATCAGCAGGAGAGGACTCTTTAAAGTAGAGACACTACATACTGATATACACCTGAACATCAGCAGGAGAGGACTCTTTAAAGTAGAGACACTACATACTGATATACACCTGAACATCAGCAGGAGAGGACTCTTTAAAGTAGAGACACTACATACTGATATACACCTGAACATCAGCAGGAGAGGACTCTTTAAAGTAGAGACACTACATACTGATATACACCTGAACATCAGCAGGGGAGGACTCTTTAAAGTAGAGACACTACATACTGATATACACCTGAACATCAGCAGGAGAGGACTCTTTAAAGTAGTGACACTACAGACTGATATACACCTGAACATCAGCAGGAGAGGACTTTTTAAAGTAGAGACACTACATACTGATATACACCTGAACATCAGCAGGAGAGGACTCTTTAAAGTAGAGACACTACATACTGATATACACCAGAACATCAGCAGGAGAGGACTCTTTAAAGTAGAGACACTACATACTGATATACACCTGGACATCAGCTGGAGAGGACTCTTTAAAGTAGAGACACTACATACTGATATACACCTGAACATCAGCAGGAGAGGACTCTTTAAAGTAGAGACACTACATACTGATATACACCCTGCACATCAGCAGGAGAGGACTCTTTAAAGTAGAGACACTACATACTGATATACACCTGAACATCAGCAGGAGAGGACTCTTTAAAGTAGAGACACTACATACTGATTTACACCTGAACATCAGCAGGAGAGGACTCTTTAAAGTAGAGACACTACATACTGATATACACCTGAACATCAGCAGGGGAGGACTCTTTAAAGTAGAGACACTACATACTGATATACACCTGAACATCAGCAGGAGAGGACTCTTTAAAGTAGTGACACTACAGACTGATATACACCTGAACATCAGCAGGAGAGGACTTTTTAAAGTAGAGACACTACATACTGATATACACCTGAACATCAGCAGGAGAGGACTCTTTAAAGTAGAGACACTACATACTGATATACACCTGAACATCAGCAGGAGAGGACTCTTTAAAGTAGAGACACTACATACTGATATACACCTGGACATCAGCTGGAGAGGACTCTTTAAAGTAGAGACACTACATACTGATATACACCTGAACATCAGCAGGAGAGGACTCTTTAAAGTAGAGACACTACATACTGATATACACCTGAACATCAGCAGGAGAGGACTCTTTAAAGTAGAGACATTACATACTGATATACACCTGAACATCAGCTAGGAGAGGACTCTTTAAAGTAGAGACACTACATACTGATATACACCTGAACATCAGCAGGAGAGGACTCTTTAAAGTAGAGACACTACATACTGATATACACCTGAACATCAGCAGGAGAGGACTCTTTAAAGTAGAGACACTACACACTGATATACACCTGAACATCAGCAGGAGAGGACTCTTTAAAGTAGAGTCTCTTGTTGTCATGTTCCATTTTAATCCTGTAAACATCTGTGTTTTCTTGCAGGCGAGACTTGAGTACCTCGTGAAATGGAAAGGATGGGCGATGAAGTAAGAGCTGCTCCTCACTTGTTTCTTTCTGATGTTTTAATGCCTGCACACTAAACTCAAAATATGTTTGAAATGCTCTCTGTTGAAATGCTTCCTGTTGTTTTCTTCATGTTGCTTCCTCCTTGTTCTCCTCAGGCACAGCACCTGGGAGCCAGAGGAGAACATTCTGGACGACAGGCTGATACTGGGCTTCGAGCGAAAGTGAGTAAAGCGGCTTTATGTTTGAATAAGAGTTTATTTATCGTGTGCAAAAAAGAAGTCTTGCACAGAGTGAGGGATCGCCATTAAGCGGTTCGTGTGTATCCTAAAAAGTATTAAACTACTAAAGCAAAGACTTAAATAGGAATGAGTTGCCTTAATTCAATCTCAAAATCAAATCTTTCAGTTTGTGTGAGACAGAGAGATCGAAATACCCTTTCCCACAATCCAGAGGAATACAAATTACAAATATGTATACAAATATGTATATACATAATCAACAGACACATGTATATGTATGGGATGGGAACGATTAATCGATTAATCGAATCTTCTTTTTTTTTTGGGAGAGGTGCCTAAGTTGATTACATATGATCAAATGGAATCATTCAATGTATACGCCAGTGCCATAGCTGAGTGTGTTAGGTCTAAAGGTGTTTTGCTCCGCTCTCCGGTCCCTCACAGCGGGCAGAGCTTCTGATCTCTCTCTCTCGCGTCCGGTTATACTTCACTCGCGTTCATGTCCAAATCCATCAGATCTAGTTCGAGCTAATGATATGGCTGCTGCCCCTCCCTACACGCAGACCACGCAGACTCAAACCACATCTTAGGCCCACATCCCAGCTGAGAGGGTCTTCTCTACAGCTGGCCTGATTGTGAATCGCCTCCGCACCCGCCTCTCCCCTGAGTAGACATGCTCATATTCTTAAAGAAGAATGAGTATTGAATAGCTGCATTCTGTGCATAGGCCTGCTACAGGTTGATCTCTGTTGTCACGGGTTACGTTACCCTAACCCGTTATGTTGTTCGTGTGTGATCCCTCTTTCATTTAAAAACCAAGTTATGTTTTAAGCATGAAAGCTGTAGGCCTATAGCTGTCAGCTGTTCAAACTGTGATCACCAAATCAATTCATTTGACAAATTCGACTTGGTTTCTAAACTTATTTGAACATGTATTCATTTATTTTCAAAATGTTATTGTTTTATTTATTTTTGTAAAAAAATTTCCCACATTTTTTTTTATAGGATATGTACATTTCGGTTAACAGTTTATTTGGGGGTCGAATATTCGAATATACATTTGCTTTCAAATTCCCATCCCTAGCACACATTAAAGACATCAATAAAAGCACAACAATCAATATATACAACATAACAGTCTTCCAACGCTCTTAAAAATACTAATACAAGTTGTATTTAATGAATCCTTTTTTTCTGACAAACCTCTCCTGCATGAAAGTCCTGCAGATCTTAATAAAGTGTAGAGTTATTATTATATTTAATTCCAAGTGGTATCAAAGAAGGTCTTACTTGCTTGACACTGAAGTACGTTTTCTTATTTGGTTTTGGCTCCTTCATTCATTTCAGTTCTAACGGAGCGTCCACACAGCAGCGTGCGTTGACGCTTGGAGGTGGACGTGTCTGAGGCTTGGGGATTTTTTGCGAGCAACGCGACCAACAACCAATCACATGAATCTCCCACCCCCGACATACAAAGCAATAGCAATGTTAAAACGAAGTAAACTGGATATAAAATCCCCAAACAGGCGAAAACCTACCAGTTTCATCCACTGTCTCTGCCACCTCCCTCCATGCCTCGCTCCTCCGGTTTGTATCCCGGTAGATGAACAGAGACTGATCATACAGCACCGGGTGATTCACTACCGCTATAATGAATACCTCAATTTTTTTGAATATGAGGAAATGACCTGCGTAGTCTCTCCCAGCATACACGCGGTTTGATTGGCTAGCGCTTATACTGGCAGATTTGCATAAACGGGATTTCATTGGCTGACGCTTCTGCCGAGGCGCCAAAAGTTGAACATTGCTCAACTTTTGAGGCGAGCAACGCCAGCAACGCTCCACGTCGCTTCCCAAAATGCAGTTCGGCTAAAAGTGACGTCACCCCATTCAAAGTGAATGGGCAGAAGCGTTGGAAGCTTCAACGCACGCCGCTGTGTGGACGGGCCGTTAGTCTTCAGTTTACATAATATGCTTTGAGTGTCTTTACATTCCTCTTCCTCTTCCTGATTGTGAAACCTCCATCTTAGCTCAAGTCTTCAGTGTTCATTTCGTCAACGAAAACTATGATGAACAATGTTCGTCAACGACCTTTTTTACATGATTAAGACATGACGATGACGAGCTAAAAATAGATTCTTGAAAATAAAAACTATGACGAAATGTATATTTTGTTTTCGGAGACGGGACTAGACGGGACTAAGGTGTTAATGGTGGACTATCGGAGATTCAAAATTCAGCATATTTCCCCCAAGTGTCCGTCTTGTCCGTCAAAATGCATCTTACGTTTCTAACTTGCAATATCAGTATTTCCGCTCTCTTCACTCCAGAAGACTCTCCTTGTGTCTCGTCTGTGTGCGGCGGGTGGGGCCTAACTCTCTCTCTGTGTGGGGGGGGGGGCGGGGCCTAACTCTCTCCCTGTGTGGGGGCGGGGCCTAACTCTCTCTCTGTGTGGGGGGTGGGGCCTAACTCTCTCTTTCTCTCTCTCTCTCTCTCTCTCTCCTCTCTCTCCTCTCTCCGGTCTCCATCTGCTCTCTCTCTCTTCTCTCTCTCTCTCTCTCTCTCTGTGGGGGGTGGGGCCTAACTCTCTCTTTCTCTCTCTCTCTCTGTGTGGGGGGGTGGGGCCTAACTCTCTCTCTGTGTGTGGGGGGCGGGGCCTAACTCTCTCTCTTTCTCTCTCTCTCTGTGGGGGGTGTGGCCTAACTCTCTCTTTCTCTCTCTCTCTCTGTGTGGGGGGCGGGGCCTAACTCTCTCTTTCTCTCTCTCTGTGTGGGGGGCGGGGCCTAACTCTCTCTTTCTCTCTCTCTGTGTGGGGGTGGGGCCTAACTCTCTCTCACTGTGTGATTGTGGGCCTAAACTCTCTCTCTCTCTCTCTGTGTGTGGGGGTGGGCCTAACTCTCTCTCTCTCTCTCTCTCTGTGTGCGGGGGCGGGGCCTAACAGACATGCTGCAGCGGCGTGCACACAGATTTTTAAGAGTAGTAGTACCGTTAAAAACCTTAGCGATACCCACCCCTAGATATATTAAACAAGTAAAGTGTTAAGAGAGTGAAATGTTGCTTTACGAATTTCAACACTTGATGCTGTCACATTGATTCCAATTTCAGATTCCGGTATTTGTCTAACTGAATTAGTTTTGACTAAAAGTTGACTAAAATGTAATGATTTTTCATCGGCTAAAACTATGAAGGATAAAAAGGACTAAAATGTGACTAAAACTAATAACTTTTTTAATAATTTTCGTCTAAAGACTAAATCAAAAATAGCTCCCAAAATTAACACGGCAAGTCTTTCATGTTATAGAGACAGACACTTGAAAAGCCTTGTGCTGCTCACTGAGAGGAACTGCGGTTTAAATCAGAGAGAACTAAAAAGACTCATCAAACTAAACTGGTCAGGTGACGGAAAATCTGACTGCACTTCTTACATCTTACACACATCTGTTTTATTACCTCTCATTGTGTCTTTTACCTGTTTCTTTACAGGGAACGGGAGAGGGAGATCCTCGGGCCGAAGAAACGAGGACCAAAACCCAAAAAACAGTCCATGAAGGTTCAGTTTTTCTACAGCTTTATTTAACGTTCATGCATGAAAGATATCTCATTAATACAACAGCACCACCCTGAAGTGTCTTTGGGTCATTTTATTTACAATTCAGCTTGCATGTGCAAGCTGAATTGTAAATAAAATGTTATATATGTATATAACATAAGTTGTGTTTTTAACCAGCATCACACAGTGGAAGCAATGCTTATTTATTTATTTAATAACTTTGTGCATTGCTCCAGTTTGTACTGGTGCTTTTTAAATATTTTCTCATGTTCTGGGTACTTTTTTGAGATTTGTCTTCAGTGCTCAGACTGGAGGAAGCACCACTTGAATTATCTTTATTTGTATAACCACTAGTGGTGCACGATAATTATCGGCCCGATAATTATCGGTCCGATATTAGGAATTATGACGTCATCCCGATAAACCCGATAACAGTATTAATAGCCTCGATAATATACAATATATTTTTTGGGTAAAAAAAAGAAAACAATACTGCGGTGTGGGTGGATTGGGATGAGGGGCGCTTGTTTTTCACTCGGCTCCTCCCGTTTTGCCAGTACTGTGGTATTAGTGGTTTAGGAAGAGGGGAGTTCTTCACAAATCCAGCGCTCCCTAACTCATGCCTGGCTGTGACGTAAATGGTGTGCGGCCGTGAAGCCAGGACAGTAAACAAATATGTCGTCGGTGGTATGGGCGTTGGAGCTATGTGCAACTCAAGGCATATGCTCGAACGGGAGCTGCATGGACGGTGCAATCATGTTGCGCACTATCCGTGCTGAGTGTGCTGACTTTTCGTACAATGTCCCACTGTCTGGCATAAAGTCAAGTGCTCGGCGCAGTTGTGGCGAAATGTCGCTCCTCTGTTTTCATTTAAACAGCTCCTTATATCCGTTAGCGCAGCTAGCTAGCACCAGATGCTAACAACAACAATGCACGTAAGGTCTCTCTCTCGCTAGCTCGGGCCATACATACACACACCCTCCCGGTCCTCCAGATGGCCAGTCGGTGCCTGCCGGTGAGCGTGGAAGTGTGGTCTGCCACAAGCGGGCGGCAGGAGCGGGGCTGTTAGCATCAGCTTGTAGATGGTATTTTAAACTCGATGCGCTCTGAAACTACGGGGCGGCCGAGGAAAAAAAATACACATGCGTTTATCGCGTTAAAATAATTAGTGCCGTAAATTTATTTTTCTTATCGGTTATCGGTATCGGTATCGGTCTTGAGAAGCAGGAAGTTATCGGTATCGGTATCGGTTTCAAAAAACCAATATCGTGCATCCCTAATAATTACATTTCCAAATTATCTTGCATAACAAAATAGTGCAAAAAGAAACGGAATATAAATAGTGCAAGAGAATAATGCGGGGCTCGACATTATAAATGGCCCGCTGGCCCGGAAGCACTGTTCAGACCCCCCGGGCCAGCATAACCTACTTCCCACTTGCCCGCTCGGGACACTCAAAATATTGCTTAAAAAAAAAAAAATGGTCCAGTGGTAAAGGTATTTTGACAAGCAATTTTATTAAATTATTTCTTAATGCTACAACATAGCGTTTCGTGAGGCGGTTGTCGTTGTTGGGTGAAAAGCAAACAGCTGTTTGCTGCGGAGCGCAGGGCCGAGAAAGTCTGTAGTGAAGGAGTGCAGGAAATGTCCCAGCAGGATAATGAAGGTTCTAATCTAATCTATTACATAGCCATTACATGTCTCACTCCTGATGACAGGAAGGCAGAAAGCCAAATAATAATAATAATGATAATAGCAGCATTTTTTTTTTAACAATGACCACAATATAATTATTTATATGAACCAAATATGAACAATTGAGGAGAATGAGGAAGAACTGATGGTTCAAATGTTGTAGTATAAGTAGTAATGTCGTTTGTGCATAAATTACTATTGCAACAAATGTAGTATAGTAGTAGAACCTTTATTTAGCCAGGAAAATCAATTAAGAACAAATTCTTATTTTCAATGATGACCTGACAGGAGGCAAAAGGCTTCCTGAGGGGATGGGGGTTGGGAGGAAGAAAATAAAAAGACAGACTCCGGGCACTACAGAGCCCAGGAGACAACACAATGAATGAATGAATGAAAACTTTATTACAGACTCAGGGTCCAGATAAAAGACAAGACATTACAAGTGAAGACATTTGAAAAGTAATCTAGAGCCTATGTTCATGCGATCCGTTATAAATAGGAAGAAGTGTAGAGAGCCTGAAGCAGGTACCAATGGCAAAAGGCAGGTTGCATTGTACAGATGCCTAACAGTCACTGGTTAGTAGCTTTGTCATGGTTTCAAGAAACTCTTTGATACAAAACAAGAAGGCTAGTAGCCAAGCACCCAAACCTAAAATCTATGAGTCTGTATTTTAATTCTTCTATGAAGAACAATGACACAGAGCAGAGATGGCAGGCATAGCAGTTAAATATATAACATCTCTAAAACAATACTGCTGTGGTTCAATCAGTCATTACAATAATATAGAACCATTTGTGTTCATTTTCTTCATCATTAGAGTAGATCTTTTGGACGAATGCTCCGGGCCAGTGGTTACAGTGGGGCCAGTGGTTACAGTGGGGCCAGTGGTTACAGTGGTGGTTACAGTGGGGCCAGTGGTTACAGTGGTGGTTATAGTGGGGCCAGTGGTTACAGTAGGGCCGGTGGTTACTGTGGGGCCAGTGGTTACAGTGGGGCCAGTGGTTACAGTGGTGGTTACAGTGGGGCCAGTGGTTACAGTGGTGGTTATAGTGGGGCCAGTGGTTACAGTAGGGCCGGTGGTTACTGTGGGGCCAGTGGTTACAGTGGGGCCAGTGGTTACAGTGGGGCCAGTGGTTACAGTGGTGGTTACAGTGGGGCCAGTGGTTACAGTGGTGGTTATAGTGGGGCCAGTGGTTACAGTAGGGCCGGTGGTTACTGTGGTGGGGCCGGTGGTTACAGTGGTGGGGCCGGTGGTTACAGTGGTGGGGCCGGTGGTTACAGTGGTGGGGCCGGTGGTTACAGTGGTGGGGCCAGTGGTTACAGTGGTGGTTATAGTGGGGCCGGTGGTTACTGTGGTGGGGCCGGTGGTTACAGTGGTGGGGCCGGTGGTTACAGTGGTGGTTACAGTGGGGCCAGTGGTTATAGTGGGGCCGGTGGTTACAGTGGTGGGGCCGGTGGTTACAGTGGTGGGGCCGGTGGTTACAGTGGTGGGGCCGGTGGTTACTGTGGTGGGGCCGGTGGTTACAGTGGGGCCGGTGGTTACAGTGGTGGGGCCGGTGGTTACAGTGGTGGGGCCAGTAGGGCCGGTGGTTACAGTGGGGCCGGTGGTTACAGTGGTCGGGCCGGTGGTTACAGTGGAGCCGGTGGTTACAGTGGGGCCGGTGGTTACAGTGGTGCCGGTGGTTACTGTGGGGCCGGTGGTTACAGTGGGGCCGGTGGTTACAGTGGGGCCGGTGGTTACAGTGGGGCCGGTGGTTACAGTGGTGGGGCCGGTGGTTACAGTGGTGGGGCCGGTGGTTACAGTGGTGGGGCCTGTGGTTTCAGTGGTGGGGCCGGTGGTTACAGTGGTTACAGTGGTGGGGCCGGTGGTTTCAGTGGGGCCGGTGGTTACAGTGGGGCCCGTGGTTACAATGGGGCCGGTGGTTACAGTGGTGGGGCCGGTGGTTACAGTGGTGGGGCCGGTGGTTTCAGTGGTGGGGCCGGTGGTTACAGTGGGGCCGGTGGTTACAGTGGGGCCGGTGGTTACAGTGGGGCCGGTGGTTACAGTGGGGCCGGTGGTTACAGTGGTGGGGCCGGTGGTTTCAGTGGTGGGGCCAGTGGTTACAGTGGTTACAGTGGTGGGGCCGGTGGTTTCAGTGGGGCCGGTGGTTACAGTGGGGCCCGTGGTTACAATGGGGCCGGTGGTTACAGTGGTGGGGCCGGTGGTTACAGTGACGGGGCCGGTGGTTACAGTGGAGCCGGTGGTTACAGTGGAGCCGGTGGTTACAGTGGGGCCGGTGGTTACTGTGGGGCCGGTGGTGACAGTGGGGCCGGTGGTTACAGTGGGGCCGGTGGTTACAGTGGTGGGGCCGGTGGTTACAGTGGTGGGGCCTGTGGTTTCAGTGGTGGGGCCGGTGGTTTCAGTGGTGGGGCCGGTGGTTACAGTGGTGGGGCCTGTGGTTTCAGTGGTGGGGCCAGTGGTTACAGTGGTTACAGTGGTGGGGCCGGTGGTTTCAGTGGGGCCGGTGGTTACAGTGGGGCCCGTGGTTACAATGGGGCCGGTGGTTACAGTGGTGGGGCCGGTGGTTACAGTGGTGGGGCCGGTGGTTTCAGTGGTGGGGCCGGTGGTTTCAGTGGTGGGGCCAGTGGTTACAGTGGGGTCGGTGGTTACAGTGGGGCCGGTGGTTACAGTGGTGGGGCCGGTGGTTTCATTGGTGGGGCCAGTGGTTACAGTGGTTACAGTGGTGGGGCCGGTGGTTTCAGTGGGGCCGGTGGTTACAGTGGGGCCCGTGGTTACAATGGGGCCGGTGGTTACAGTGACGGGGCCGGTGGTTACAGTGACGGGGCCGGTGTTTACAGTGGTTACAGTGGTGGGGCCGGTGGTTGCAGTGGTGGGGCCGGTGGTTGCAGTGGTGGGGCCGGTGGTTACAGTAGGGCCAGTGGTTACAGTGGTGGGGCCAGTGGTTACAGTGGGGCCACTGGTTACAGTGGTGGGGCCGGTGGTTACAGTGGTTACAGTGGTGGGGCCGGTGGTTACAGTGGTTACAGTGGTGGGGCCAGTGGTTACAGTGGTGGGGCCAGTGGTTACAGTGGTGGGGTCGGTGACAATGAAAATCTACTGGATAAAGAGGGTTTCATCCTCCGATTCTATCTATCTATCTCTCAGGCTAACGCTCAGATTTTCTTTTCGATATTCTGTCTCTCATAAGTTAAATAAACCTATTATTAAAATGATAGTCTGTTCATTTCTTTGTAAGTGGGTAAACTTGCGAAATCGGCAAGGGATCAAACAATTATTTCCTCCACTCTCTCCCTCAGGCTAACGCTCAGACTGGAAAACACTCATTTAAAAGCAAAGATAATAAAACATGAATAACACAGACTAGTGATAAATAAACATGTGAAATGCAAACAGATGAAGGTAATCGAGGCACTTCAGAGCTCAGGAGTTAACAGTCTGATTAGATAAGATCAGAAGTACTTTATTGATCCCAATTGGGGAAATGTTTGTGTTGCAGCAACATAAAAAGACAAGGCACTGTATAATACAATGGCCTGTGGGATAAAACAGTTTTTTGTGTGTTTGACATAAGTTCATATTCCCTCAGGCTAACGCTCAGACCGGAGGAAGCCGAGCCTCAAACTCCCGCCTGCCTGCAGCTCGCTCTACACCGGGTCGAGCAAATCCTTCCTCCTCCTCCTCTTCCTCTCCTCATCCACCCTCCTCCTCCGTGGCTCCTTCTCCCAAGCTCAGCTCCCTGGCCACCACCCACAAGCTGAAGAAGGACATCCACCGCTGCCACCGGATGTCGCGCCGCCCGCTGCCGCGCCCCGACCCCTCGGCCGGGTCCTTCCCCGGTCAGACCTCCAAGATCCACGTGTCCCCGTTCTCTGAAACCGTCCGGATCCTCAACCGCAGAGTGAAGCCCCGGGAGGTGAAGAGAGGCCGCATCATCCTCAACCTGAAGGTCAGTGCATGGGGAGAGGAACTGAGTACATCATGGTCTGTTTCAGAGGTGGGAAGTAGTGGAGTACAAATACTTTGTTACTGCACTAAAGTACATTGTTCTGGTATCAGTACTTTACTCCACTACTTATTTTTCTGATGACTTTTTACTTTGACTTCTTACACTTTGAACACAAATACCTGTACTTTCTACTTCTTACATGTTGAACACAAATACCTGTACTTTCTACTTCTTACATGTTGAACACAAATACCTGTACTCTCTACTTCTTACATGTTGAACCCAAATACCTGTACTTTCTACTTCTTACATGTTGAACCCAAATACCTGTACTTTCTACTTCTCACATGTTGAACCCAAATACCTGTACTTTCTACTTCTTACATGTTGAACCCAAATACCTGTACTTTCTACTTCTTACATGTTGAACCCAAATACCTGTACTTTCTACTTCTTACATGTTGAACCCAAATACCTGTACTTTCTGCTTCTCTCATGTTGAACCCAAATACCTGTACTTTCTACTTCTTACATGTTGAACCCAAATACCTGTACTTTCTGCTTCTCTCATGTTGAACACAAATACCTGTACTTTCTGCTTCTCTCATGTTGAACACAAATACCTGTACTTTCTGCTTCTCACATTTTCCAAACAGCTGGTTCCTTTAGTCTGAATGTGTGTTTGGTGCGTAATCATTATTATTTAGAGTCATTGCGTGCCTTTTGATTTGAAGACGATCCGTGTATCCATCATTTCCTGGTCTTTTCTAAGGCTGGAGCCACACGAGGACGATAACGCAAACGGACCGCAATCGTTATCAAAAAAGTCTTCCGTCCAGAAACGTGTCCGTTCACACGAGACCGCTCCAAAGTGCTGGAGACGCTGTAGTACATATGCCAGGCCTGTAAGTGGCGCTGTAGTCCTGCAAAACAAACAACAAAAGCAGCGAAGAAGACTTCCCGCGCATGGTTGCCCTTCTGTTTATTCTCCGCTGTGGCTATTTTTTCTCCCTCCCCGAGGCGAGCGTGTGCTCCTGCTGTAAATCTCTCCGGTAGTCCACCAGCAGATGACAAACACCCACCTCTCCGCCTCTTCCAAGGGACGAGGGGACCGAGCAGCAGAGTTTCAGTTTTTTCCGCTGGTCAACATGTCCGTTAAAGTTTAAATCTTCCGGACAAAATTAGAAAAGTGCCGGTCAAAGGTCTTCTTTGTTATTTATTGAGCTTTAAAACAAATGAATAACGACTCTATATAATAATATAATAGTAATAAACGGAGCCTCTCTTTTCCTCCCCCTCTTCTTCAGCCCAGCAGCTGATCTCTGAGCAGGAGAGGCGGGGCTATTGCTTCAACGTATCAAGACATGATCGTATAGGCGTAAACACGGAGCCGTTTGCCAACACAGAGCGTTTCGTTTGCAGATCTACCTACCTAGGGACCCGTTATCGTTTTCTGCGTTTCCGTGTCGGCCTCGTGTGGCCGAATCGTCTATCTGATAGAGAACTGTAGCAGATACGACCGTTATCGTCCTTGTGTGGCCGGGGCTTAAAGAAGAGGGACCAATGGAAACGTTGTCATGTTGCCGTTGTTCAGCATGGAAACATTAATTAGCTAACAATGACATTATTGTTCTATTAATATAAATGGAGCTCAGGTACTCTTTAAAACAGCTGCTAGTTATGGGTACTTTTTACTGAAAGTGGACCTATCATGCTATATTTGAAAAATATATTGTAGGGCCATACCTACAGTGGGGCAAAAAAGTATTTAGTCAGCCACCAATTGTGCAAGTTCTCCCACTTAAAAAGATGAGAGGCCTGTAATTTTCATCCTAGGTACACTTCAACTATGAGAGACAGAATGGGGGGAAAGAATCCAGGAAATCACATTGTAGGATTTTTTTATGAATTCATTGGTAAATTCCTCGGTAAAACAAGTATTTGGTCACCTACAAACAAACAAGATCTCTGGCTCTCACAGACCTGTAACTTCTTCTTTAAGAGCCTCCTCTGTCCTCCACTCGTTAACTGTATTAATGGCACCTGTTTGAACTCGTTATCAGTATAAAAGACACCTGTCCACAACCTCAAACAGTCACACTCCAAACTCCACTATGGCCAAGACCAAAGAGCTGTCAAAGGACACCAGAAACAAAATGGTAGACCTGCACCAGGCTGGGAAGACTGAATCTGCAATAGGTAAGCAGCTTGGTGTGAAGAAATCAACTGTGGGAGCAATTATTAGAAAATGGAAGACATACAAGACCACTGATAATCTCCCTCGATCTGGGGCTCCATGCAAGACCCCACCCCGTGGGGTCAAAATGATCACAAGAACGGTGAGCAAAGATCCAGAACCACACGGGGGGACCGAGTCAATGACCTGCAGAGAGCTGGGACCAAAGTAACAAAGGCTACCATCAGTAACACACTACGCCGCCAGGGACTCAAACCCTGCAGTGCCAGACGTGTCCCCCTGCTTAAGCCAGTACATGTCCAGGCCCGTCTGAAGTTTGCTAGAGAGCATTTAGATGATCCAGAAGAGGATTGGGAGAATGTCATATGGTCAGATGAAACCAAAATAGAACTCTTTGGTAAAAACTCAACTAGACGTGTTTGGAGGAGAAAGAATGCTGAGTTGCATCCAAAGAACACCTACTGTGAAACATGGGGGTGGAAACATCGTGCTTTGGGGCTGTGTTTCTGCAAAGGGACCAGGACCACTGATCCGTGTAAAGGAAAGAATGAATGGGGCCATGTATCGTGAGATTTTGAGTGACAACCTCCTTCCATCAGCAAGGGCATTGAAGATGAAACGTGGCTGGGTCTTTCAGCATGACAATGATCCCAAACACACCGCCCGGGCAACGAAGGAGAAGCATTTCAAGGTCCTGGAGTGGCCTAGCCAGTCTCCAGATCTCAACCCCATAGAAAATCTTTGGAGGGAGTTGAAAGTCCGTGTTGCCCAGCGACAGCCCCAAAACATCACTGCTCTAGAGGAGATCTGCACGGAGGAATGGGCCAAAATACCAGCAACAGTGTGTGAAAACCTTGGGAAGACTTACAGAAAACATTTGACCTCTGTCATTGCCAACAAAGGGTATATAACAAAGTATTGAGATGAACTTTTGTAATTGACCAAATACTTATTTTCCACCATAATTTGCAAATAAATTCTTTAAAAATCATACTTTTTTTTTCTCATTTTGTCTCTCATAGTTGAGGTGTACCTAGGATGAACATTACAGGCCTCTCTCATCTTTTTAAATGGGAGAACTTGCACAATTGGTGGCTGACTAAATACTTTTTTTCCCCACTGTATATAAAACACGTCTGTGAAGTTTTTTTTTCAAAACACCAAACAGATCACCCGTTGTAGCCATGCCTCATTCTGCTCAAACCCCTCTTTTGAAGCCCTGTTAGAGAAACGCAGATTTTGGGTCCTTAGCTTGAAAAAAAGAAAGAAGAGGAGGCGGAGCTAATGCCTGATCAGAATTCTACCGGAGATAAAGTTAAATTCTGCTGTGATAAAACGCCATCCTGTTCTAAACCACGTCAAGGATTATCTCTGAAACAGTATGGAGCTCAAATGCTTTTTCTCTTGTGGGTTTATCACAAGGTGAGTTCTTTTTTTATTTCCTGCTTTTTAAACACATGTACTCTCCAGTACAGGTTAGCTCTGAGTGTTAGCGAGGCTTGCTAATGCAAACAAAGACGTCCAAAACACGTCAGGCATTGTTTCTGATAGCAACTTTCTGTGGGTCCGCCGATGCTATTACGTCACAGCGGATGGAATCTGTATCCGCTCGTTGTGCCCCCGTTTTTAAAAGATTTGGGTACGGAGGAAAAGAGAGAGGGTTTTATTTTCTGACGCTGCGTGAGTTCCCCGACGCACCGGGGACACATATTTATGTATAAAAGACATCACAAAGTGCATTTTGCATGATAGGTCCCCTGTACATTTCAAAGCCCATACTTCTTTACTTTTACTTGAGTAAAGAAGTTTAGTCAGTACTTCTACTTTTACCAGAGTATCTTTGAACACGAGTATCTGTACTTCTACTTGAGTAAAGGATGTGTGAACTTTTGCCCTCTCTGATCTGTTTGTAGCTCATAGTCTTGTTGAGACCCCAAAGTGTTATGTTAGAAACGCCACTACATGTATTCCATACCTTTACTTACTTTACAAATTTGGATTAATCATGTGAAACATAATCAACTCTTATATTTTGATGATAATATTTTTCTACTTTTACTTGAGTAACATTTTGAATGCAGGACTTTTACTGTAGCAGAGTATTCCTACACTCTGGTACTTCTACTTTCACTCAAGAACAAGATCTGAGTACTTCTACTTTTACTGAAGAACAAGATCTGAGTACTTCTACTTTTACTCAAGTACAAGATCTGAGTACTTCTACTTTTACTGAAGAACAAGATCTGAGTACTTCTACTTTTACTCAAGTACAAGATCTGAGTACTTCTACTTTTACTCAAGTACAAGATCTGAGTCTTTCTACTTTCACTCAAGAACAAGATCTGAGTACTTCTACTTTTACTGAAGTACAAGATCTGAGTACTTCTACTTTTACTCAAGTACAAGTTCTGAGTACTTCTACTTTTACTCAAGTACAAGATCTGAGTACTTCTACTTTTACTCAAGAACAAGATCTGAGTACTTCTACTTTTACTCAAGTACAAGATCTGAGTACTTATACTTTCACTCAAGAACAAGATCTGAGTACTTCTACTTTTACTCAAGTACAAGATCTGAGTACTTCTACTTTTACTGAAGTACAAGATCTGAGTACTTATACTTTTACTGAAGTACAAGATCTGAGTACTAATACTTTTATTGAAGTAGATAGAATTGGAGGATGAAACCCTCTTTAATGGTCACACATGTTCATGCACACAGTGAAATGTGTTCTCTGCTTTTTACCCATCCTAGTACTAGGAGCCGTACAAGATCTGAGTACTTCTACTTTAACTCAAGATCTGAGTACTTCTAGTAATACTTTGTCCTCCTCCTCATCTGAAGGTTATCGATAAGCCGGTTCGAGGAGGTGCTTCTGGAAGGAATCACACGGTCGGGGGTCGGCAGAACATCCCGTCCCGAAACCGAATCATCGGGAAGAAAGCCGAGGGTCCTTACCGGCCCTTCCATTCCCCACTGAAGATGCTGGGCTTCCCCATGTACGGGAAGCCATTTGGGCTCCAGTGTGGAGGACCAGTGACCTTCAGCTCTGCCGAGTATAACTCCGCCCCCTCCCAGCATAACTCCTCCCCCTCCCCGTGTAACCCCTCCCCCTCCCAGCATAACTCCTCCCCCTCCAGTTCAGAAGGAAAATCCACAACAGGAGTCTCTCTCCCTCCTTCCTGCGAAGCTCCAGAGTCCAGTAACCCCGGTAAATAATGTTCTATATTTAAATGTTATGGTTGTTTTCTAGCTTCTTCAATCAATCAATACAAAATAACAGTCACTTCAATATCTTTGGGAAATGTACATTAGTACAAGATTGTCCATAGTTACTAACATCCTTACTAGCATCCTCACTGACATCCTCACTGACATCCTCACTGGCATCCTCATTGGCATCCTTACTGGCATCCTTACTGGCATCCTTACTGGCATCCTCACTGGCAACCTTACTGGCATCCTTACTGGCATCCTCACTGGCATCCTTACTGGCATCCTTACTGGCATCCTTATCACTAATGTACATTTCCCAAAGATATTGAAGTGACTGTTATTTTGCATATATTGATTGTTGTGCTTTTATTTTGGTCTTAATGTGTGCATATGTATACATGTGTCTGTTGGTTGTGTATATATAGGTATATACATATTTTTATATATATTTGTATTTTTGGATTCTGGGCAACGGTATTTCGATCTCTCTGTCTGTACACACAAACTGAAAGATTGACAATAAAGTTGACTTTGACTTCAAAGATTCAAAGGTGTTATCGTCAGATGCTCAGCAGCTGCAGTGTAGAAATGGCCATGACATTCTTCTGACCTGAGCTCCTCCAACGATGCATCATATAATAAAATACAAATAACAAATAGTGCAAGAAGTCTATATCCATGTAAATAGAATATGATATGTACAAGAACAGAATATGAAATCAAATAATGTACATTAAAACAAAATTAAATACGGTTTATTGCGGTGATAACTATTTAAATAAATAAGTATAACAGTGTTTATGTTTGCACCAAATACACGAAGAAAATGTTCTCTTGGCAATAACCCTGTTTGTGTTTCTGATTCTAAAGTTGGAGCCTCATCGTCTTCCTCAGTGAAAGACCAGGAGGACGAGACCCCGAAAGGTTGAACAACCCCATTTCACACTTTACCGACAATATCTCTTTAATACTGTGAATCCTGCATTTTCAGAAAAGTCATCATTTTGAGATTTTCAGAAAAAGTCAGAATTCTGAATAAATATTGTCTTTATTTTTCATTTGTTGCAACAGTCTTTAAAACAGTGTTTCAAAATGGCTTTTAAAAAAGGACAATGTTCTGCTCCTTGCTTTACAATAAACAGAAAAAGTGAGAATTCTGAGATTTGAGAAGAAAAGTCATAATTTTGAGATTTTCTGAAAAAATTCATAATTTTGATTAAAAATTTTAGAAACGGATAATAATTTTGTTTTTCAGAAAAAAAGTCAGAATATTTCTCTATTTATTTTTAAATTGTTACAAAAGTCCTTAAAATAGTTTTAAAAATAGCTTTTATAATAATACTATTTGTTGCCCCTTTCATAAAATACCCAAAACGTTTTCTTGTTTCTGTGTCTTTCTCACTTTTTACACCAAATCAAATTCCTCTTGTGTCAACCTACTTGGCAATCAAAATCTTACTCCATTTCACACTATACCAACAATATCTCTTTAATACTGCGAATCCTGCAAACTATTAGAAAACACATAATTCAGGATGTTCAGGAAACTATTTTGAGAATTTTTTTCTGATATCTAAAGATTTTTCTAAAAAATATTAATAATTTTGAGTTTTCCAGAAAATTCATAATTTTCAGATTTTCAGAAATCTTTTTGAATTCTGAGATTTTTTGAAAAAATGCATTCTTTTTGGGATTTAGAGAAAAAGTCATAATTTAAAGATTTCTGAAAGAAATCCATAATTTTGAGCCAAAAAAAATAGCTTATATAATAGTCCTATTTTTTGAACTTTTCTTAAAAAAAAAAACCAGAGCGTTTTTTCTGTGTCTTTGTTTACACCATTAACACCAAAGCAAATTCCTCTTATGTGTCAACATAGCAATAAAACTGATTCTGATTCTCATGAAGGCAGGAAACGCCAGCTGCCCGACGACCAGAGCCCCGGCAACGAGACCCCTGCAGAACCCCAAATAGCGGAGGGAAACCCCAACTGGCACCCTGAGATGGCGCCCAGCTGTAAAGACGTGGTGGTTACTGACGTCACCTCCAACCTCCTCACCGTCACCATTAAAGAGTTCCCCTCCCAAAACACCGCCCAGTCCGAAGACCCCGAGACATAGGAGAGCACATGTTCTGAAGGAAAACGTACCGAGACCCAGAAAGTCTGTTTGCAGCTCATTTAAGATAAGATAAGACTTTATTCATCCCGAAGGAAATTGTTTTGCCAGAGTTACACAAATACAATAATCACAGCAATATGCCCTGTAGCGGCCTAAACCCCCAAAACACTCGTTTTTTCCAGAAGCCATTTTGTAACTATTGTCCACATAAGCTATAATGCTAATTAACACAACTTGTGCTAATTGTACAAAAATCCGGCAGTTTCTATGTTCTGGAGACCCTACAGATGGGTATCGTAACACTTTGGGGTCTCAACACAGGACTCTATGGGCTGCAGACAGACTCTAAAGGGACATGGACAAAAGAGAAAGCCAGTTATTTTCTCGAGTTACAGTCACAGATACTGAGAGAATCACGGACATGAATTCATAGATCGATGCAGACTGGTTTACAGACTCTCTCGCTATCTGTTTTGCAAATTTATGCTGAGTGTTAATACCTCGTGCTGTAAACACATTTTAGAGCCCCTTAGACGAGTGTAATTTGTGATATATGTGACAATATGAGTGATATATCGATTGTGCTTAAACAAATAGCTCTTCACCCGTTGCCGAAATGTCCTTAAAATGAAGTCCGAGAGTCACAGGAAGTTGTTGCTTTTGTTGTCCATGTCCCTTTAGTACCTCGGTACAAATGCCATTGATGAAGGAGGACAAATATCAGTGTTGCCCCCCTCCTCCCTTGTCCCCTTAGGTGTGTTTAGTTTTGCAATGAATGAAATGCAAAGTAACCAAACACCGCCCAGCCATTGAATAGTAAAAAGAAGAGCATATTTTTTTTATAAGAAGTGTATACATTTGAAAACGGGCAGCTAATACGCCCACAAATTGCCATATTTCGTCCACTTGCACACAGCACTGACTCTGACTCGTGGATGGAGGTGCCGTTTGTCTCCTCTCACACACACACACACACACACACTGGCTTCAGGTTGTGTGTGTGAGCTTTTATCAGCCTGAAGGAAACAAAAGCCACTCTTTGATCCACAGGGTGTGAAGCCCCTTCTTCCCTTTAGTCTCACATTGCATCCACACAGCGAGGTAATCACAACGCACTTGACTGCATCGAAAACAATCGATTTGTATGTAGTTCATGAATATTTGAAGGCCTTTTCCTCCTCCTCCTGCTCTCTTGAACGCATATACATCCAGTATTTATATGCACGCACAACCTGAAAAGCTAAAACAGTAAGTTATTGCTCTCTCTCTCGCTTGCCTTGTATTCTCACGTATCCCCGCCTCCTGTCACTCGTCCGACTCGACTCTAAAAGTGAGTTTTCCTTCTTAGGGTTGGATCTAAGGTCCACGAGCTGAACACACTTCAGGCCGAAGCTCCAACTAAACGCAGCTAAATCAGTGTTTTATTATTCAGTGTGAACATGTTTCCATCACTTTCCTCTCCGTTTAGCTCGCTGTGCTTTTATTAGACGTCTTTGCAAACACCCAGATAACGCCCGACATATTGGACTGACAAATCTCCACCGCTGACCCGAAACAACGCCAGAAAACCCCTTTAATACAAACACATCTCTAGGATTCAAACCATGAAACGGCAGAAATACTACGCCCTCACGCCCTAATTGATTGTATGTGTTACCATTTTAATTATCTCTAATAATACAGATGTATCGGCCCTTTAGGATTAATGTATGAGACGGTGTTAGGTCATTATCTTGTGAAAATAATCCAGTGGAAAACATTCGTGGTTTTGAGATAATGCCGAAAAATAATTAGTGATTGTGACAATTTTATTCTCGAGATCAGAAGTTAATTATCTTAATTAAACAATTAGTGCATTTTCCTAGAAACCAGGATACATCATTAGGAGTAATGGAACTTGATTTAGATATTGATTGATATATCATCACATTAATTAATAAGATTTTATATATTTATTATTTTAAAAATAAGTGCAAACAAACCTTGTGATCCATTGTATCAAGATGAAACCTTATTTCTCATTATCTCTAAATAACAGATGTTGTTTCCCCAACAACACAGGATCATTTTCTATAGACAACAAGATATTCACATAATCACATTAAAGGTGGGATAGGTACGTTTCAGAAACCGGCTTGAGTGCACTAAAAGTACACAGCCGAAAATAATCCGCCCCTTCCTTCAGACTTCCTTACAGAGCACCTCCTCCAACACACATGAACGCGCACATGACGTCAGCGGACTGGTGAAAGTGGCCTCCTGTTGCTGGCTAGCGCTGGCGAGTCATTGAAGTACTGCTTCAATGCACGCCCACTGACGGCACGCCCAATGAGGGCACGAGATACATTTGTCCGTGCACGAGATGGAAGGCTGACAGACAGGGCGGCAATCCAATCCGTTTAGCCGGGCCGGCTAATGGCTATTGGATGTACTTTTACAGCGCTACGGCTTCCACAGATGACATTTTTTTATGGATTTTGTCAAAGCACTTCAGATATTCATTGCTATCGGGATGTTAAGAGCATTCCATGGAATATAACAAAAAGTGTATCTCGAGCCGGTTTCTGAAACTTACCTACCCCACCTTTAACGTACAGCAGGGTTCTGTCTGCACCCTCAAACAAAATGCAGATGTTCCTCGTAAAATGTTAAAGTGATGCCAGAAAACAAAATGTCTGTTCCTCAAAAACGGCATAATTCCTCCAGAAATCTGAGAATCAAACGGAGCGTCAGACACAGAGACAGCTTGGTTTCTACGGAGCTCCAACGTCACTTTTTTGTTTACGTCAGGAGACATCTTGTTTACGTCAGGAGACATCTTGTTTACGTCAGGAGACATCTTGTTTACGTCAGGAGACATCTTGTATTCGTCAGGAGACATCTTATATGCGTCAGGAGACATCTTGTATGCGTCAGGAGACATCTTGTATGCGTCATGAGACATCTTGTTTACGTCAGGAGACATCTTGTTTACGTCAGGAGACATCTTGTATTCGTCAGGAGACATCTTGTATACGTCAGGAGACATCTTGAATGCGTCAGGAGACATCTTGTATTCGTCAGGAGACATCTTGTATGCGTCAGGAGACATCTTGTATTCGTCAGGAGACATCTTGTATTCGTCAGGAGACATCTTGTATACATCAGGAGACATCTTGTATGCGTCAGGAGACATCTTGTTTACGTCAGGAGACATCTTGTATGCGTCAGGAGACATCTTGTTTACGTCAGGAGACATCTTGGGTGTTTCTCAATGTCGAGGAAGGATGCTCCAGAGCCACTATTTCAAGGATGCTACGTCATCCAGTGCCGCCGAAGGACTGTTCCAATTAATTCTACCGAGGCCGGCGTACTTCGTTGCAGGAAATTTCGAGGCTGCACATGTGTATCCTCTGCGGTCTTAAAATCCCCACAATGCTTTGCGCATGGACCAATTTCCAAATCTTTGGCGGAAATCGCGCTCTATTTAAGGCGGGGCCTCGCATATGACGCACACCTGTTAGCCTGTTCCCCCATTCTTCATTTTCCGAGGCGAGGAAGGATTTCTTGCCTCGCTTCTGAAGGACCTGATTCGGAGGGACTTGTCCTACCAAGGAAGCGTCCTCGACATTGAGAAACACCCCTTGTATACGTCAGGAGACATCTTGTTTACGTCAGGAGACATCTTGTTTACGTCAGGAGACGTCTTGTTTACATCAGGAGACATCTTGTTTACGTCAGGAGACGTTTTGTTTACGTCAGGAGACATCTTGTATGCGTCAGGAGACATCTTGTTTACGTCAGGAGACATCTTGTATGCGTCAGGAGACATCTTGTATGCGTCAGGAGACATCTTGTATGCGTCAGGAGACATCTTGTATGCGTCAGGAGACATCTTGTATGCGTCAGGAGACATCTTGTATGCGTCAGGAGACATCTTGTATGCGTCAGGAGACATCTTGTTTACGTCAGGAGACATCTTGTATGCGTCAGGAGACATCTTGTATGCGTCAGGAGACATCTTGTTTACGTCAGGAGACATCTTGTTTACGTCAGGAGACATCTTGTTTACATCAGGAGACATCTTGTTTACGCCAGTAGACATTTTGTATACGGGCGTCATGTTCTCGAGATAATTGATATATCTTATAAACAACATCGGAGCCACAGAACTCGTACCCTATCTTTCCAGAGTCTACTACGTGTCTGTAAATCGTTTCTTAGTAACTCCTGACGTCTGAATTTGGTCATCAGTTTGGATTTTTGGGGCTTTTCAAAACCTCAGAGTTTATTTACCAGTGTCAGTTCTTAATATCCACTTTTGACAGACGTCCCCGCTTTATTCAATGATCTGCAGCACTCTCATCAAATGTGTTGGATGAACGAAACTCACGGACTAAGTTTTCTATGATTTCCAGAAACAGAATATTTTCCTCTAAATGGATTTAAAGTATTTAGGACGTCTGAATTTGGTCATCATTGGACACCAACTTGGATTTTTGGGTTGCTAACGGGCTTTTTAAAACCTCAGAGGCGTTTATTTGCCAGTGTTTGTTGTTTAAATGATCTGCTTCAGGATGTGTCCTCTCTGCGTCTCTGTGTTTCAGTGAAAGTGACTCGCTGGTAGATGTGAGCTTTTAACGCCGTGTTTCCAACATTTAAAGCAAGGTTTTTTTATTTCTCTAAGAAGCACAACTTAGTGGCCTATCTTTCAACCAAACAGGGCTCTTGATTTTATTATTTCTAAGCTTCTTTTTTTTTCCTTTTCAATTGTTTTATATGTGATGTCATTATAAGTGCTTGAATGGCACTGATTGGACAAAAGGAAGGATCCTTTAAATGTTGATAAATGAATTAAAAAGCTGTTTTTTTTTTAATGCTTTTTTTCTAAATATGCAGAATAATGTTAATGTGATGCTGTTTATTTGATGCCATTTTTGTTTGATTAGTCCAATATGGGTTTGACGAGACGAACGGGACGTGTTTGATGTTTGTCTGTTTGATGCTGAGACGGAGACGGACTCTGGCGCATGTTGCCAGACCCTTACTGTACAGATTAGTCATGTTTCCTGTCGTTGCTCTCTGTGTGTTTCTTGTACCAGGCTTTCAATTAAAAGCTGTTCAAAAATCAGTTTCTGTTGTTTTTTACCCTGTTAAATAAAATATATTTAATATTTTAGTGTCGTTTTCAAAGTTTAAAAGGGCTTAGAGAGAGAGATATAGATAGATGGATGGATAGAGAGATAGATAGATAGATAGATAGATGGATG